CCAGGTCCGCCCCCAACCCCACCCCTGGCCCAGCCCAAACCCCACCCCCAGCCCGCCTCCAACCACGCCCCCTTAAAGATTATGAAATTACATTTTTCTTTAGAATAAATAGTCCGAAATATAAAACTGTACACAGTATGTATATCCCAGCTCCCCTGTACTCCATTATAGTGATATGACATGTATACAGTAATGTATATCCCAGCTCCCCTGTACTCCATTATAGTGATATGACATGTATACACAGTAATGTATATCCCAGCTCCCCTGTACTCCATTATAGTGATAGGACATGTACACAGTAATGTATATCCCAGCTCCCCTGTACTCCATTATAGTGATAGGACATGTACACAGTAATGTATATCCCAGCTCCCCTGTACTCCATTATAGTGATAGGACATGTACACAGTAATGTATATCCCAGCTCCCCTGTACTCCATTATAGTGATAGGACATGTTGTATACAGTAATGTATATCCCAGCTCCCCTGTACTCCATTATAGTGATATGACATGTATACAGTAATCATAGTAATGTATATCCCAGCTCCCCTGTACTCCATTATAGTGATATGACATGTATACAGTAATGTATATCCCAGCTCCCCTGTACTCCATTATAGTGATAGGACATGTACACAGTAATGTATATCCCAGCTCCCCTGTACTCCATTATAGTGATAGGACAATGTACACAGTAATGTATATCCCAGCTCCCCTGTGTACTCCATTATAGCGATATGACATGTATACAGTAATGTATATCCCAGCTCCCTTGTATTCCATTATAGTGATATGACATGTATACAGTAATCATAGTAATGTATATCCCAGCTCCCCTGTACTCCATTATAGTGATATGACATGTATACAGTAATGTATATCCCAGCTCCCCTGCACTCCATTATAGTGATATGACATGTATACAGTAATGTATATCCCAGCTCCCCTGTACTCCATTATAGTGATATGACATGTATACAGTAATCATAGTAATGTATATCCCAGCTCCCCTGTACTCCATTATAGTGATATGACATGTATATAGCATGTATATCCCAGCTCCCCTGTACTCCATTATAGTGATATGACATGTATACAGTAATGTATATCCCAGCTCCCCTGCACTCCATTATGGTGATATGACATGTATACAGTAATGTATATCCCAGCTCCCCTGTACTCCATTATAGTGATATGACATGTATACAGTAATGTATATCCCAGCTCCCCTGTACTCCATTATAGTGATATGACATGTATACAGTAATCATAGTAATGTATATCCCAGCTCCCCTGTACTCCATTATAGTGATATGACATGTATACAGTAACGTATATCCCAGCTCCCCTGTACTCCATTATAGTGATATGACATGTATATACAGTAATCATAGTAATGTATATCCCAGCTCCCCTGCACTCCATTATAGTGATATGACATGTATACAGTAATGTATATCCCAGCTCCCCTGTACTCCATTATAGTGATATGACATGTATACAGTAATGTATATCCCAGCTCCCCTGTACTCCATTATAGTGATATGACATGTATACAGTAATGTATATCCCAGCTCCCCTGCACTCCATTATAGTGATATGACATGTATACAGTAATGTATATCCCAGCTCCCCTGTACTCCATTATAGTGATATGACATGTATACAGTAATCATAGTAATGTATATCCCAGCTCCCCTGTACTCCATTATAGTGATATGACATGTATACAGTAATGTATATCCCAGCTCCCCTGTACTCCATTATAGTGATATGACATGTATACAGTAATGTATATCCCAGCTCCCCTGTACTCCATTATAGTGATATGACATGTATACAGTAATCATAGTAATGTATATCCCAGCTCCCCTGTACTCCATTATAGTGATATATGACATGTATACAGTAATGTATATCCCAGCTCCCCTGTACTCCATTATAGTGATATGACATGTATACAGTAATCATAGTAATGTATATCCCAGCTCCCCTGTACTCCATTATAGTGATATGACATGTATACAGTAATGTATGACATGTATACAGTAATCATAGTACTCCATTATAGTGATATGACATGTATACAGTAATGTAATGTATATCCAGCTCCCCTGCACTCCATTATAGTGACATGACAAGTATACAGTAATGTATATCCCAGCTCCCTGTGATATGACATGTATACAGTAATCATAGTAATGTATATCACAGCTCCCCTGCACTCCATTATAGTGATATGACATGTATACAGTAATGTATATCCCAGCTCCCCTGTACTCCATTATAGTGATATGACATGTATACACAGTAATCATAGTAATGTATATCCCAGCTCCCTGTACTCCATTATAGTGATATGACATGTATACAGTAATGTATATCCCAGCTCCCCTGCACTCCATTATAGTGATATGACATGTACACAGTAATGTATATCCCAGCTCCCCTGTACTCCATTATAGTGATATGACATGTATACAGTAATCATAGTAATGTATATCCCAGCTCCCCTGTACTCCATTATAGTGATATGACATGTATATAGTAATGTATATCCCAGCTCCCCTGTACCCATTATAGTGATATGACATGTATACAGTAATGTAATGTATATCCCAGCTCCCCTGTACTCCATTATAGTGATATGACATGTATACAGTAATAGTAATGTATATCCCAGCTCCCCTGTACTCCATTATAGTGATATGACATGTAACAGTAATGTATATCCCAGCTCCCCTGTACTCCATTATAGTGATATGACATGTATACAGTAATCATAGTAATGTATATCCCAGCTCCCCTGTACTCCATTATAGTGATATGACATGTATACAGTAATGTATATCCCAGCTCCCCTGTACTCCATTATAGTGATATGACATGTATACAGTAATGTATATCCCAGCTCCCCTGTACTCCATTATAGTGATATGACATGTATACAGTAATCATAGTAATGTATATCCCAGCTCCCCTGCACTCCATTATAGTGATATGACATGTATACAGTAATGTATATCCCAGCTCCCCTGTACTCCATTATAGTGATATGACATGTATACAGTAATCATAGTAATGTATATCACAGCTCCCCTGCACTCCATTATAGTGACATGACATGTATACAGTAATGTATATCCCAGCTCCCCTGTACTCCATTATAGTGATATGACATGTATATAGCATGTATAGTAATGTATATCCAGCTCCCCTGTACTCCATTATAGTGATATGACATGTACACAGTAATGTATATCCCAGCTCCCCTGTACTCCATTATAGTGATATGACATGTACACAGTAATGTATATCCCAGCTCCCCTGTACTCCATTATAGTGATATGACATGTACACAGTAATGTATATCCCAGCTCCCCTGTACTCCATTATAGTGATATGACATGTACACAGTAATGTATATCCCAGCTCCCCTGTACTCCATTATAGTGATAGGACATGTATACAGTAATCAGTAATGTATATCCCAGCTCCCCTGTACTCCATTATAGTGATATGATCATGTACACAGTAATGTATATCCCAGCTCCCCTGTACTCCATTATAGTGATAGGACATGTATACAGTAATAGTAATGTATATCCCAGCTCCCCTGTACTCCATTATAGTGATATGACATGTATAGTAATGTAATGTATATCCCAGCTCCCCTGTACTCCATTATAGTGATATGACATGTAAACAGTAATGTATATCCCAGCTCCCCTCTATTCCTTTATAGTGATATGACATGTATACAGTAATCATAGTAATGTATATCCCAGCTCCCCTGTACTCCATTTTAGTGATATGACATGTATACAGTAATGTATATCCCAGCTCCCCTGTACTGCATTATAGTGATATGACATGTACACAGTAATGTATATCCCAGCTCCCCTGTACTCCACTACAGTGATATGACATGTATACAGTAATGTATATCCCAGCTCCCCTGTACTCCACTATAGTGATAGGACATGTATACAGTAATCATAGTAATGTATATCCCAGCTCCCCTGTACTCCATGATAGTGATAGGATATGTTGTATACAGTACTTACTGTCCCACCGAGTCCCCCGCGGTGGTAGAGAGGGTGTCTCCTCTCAGTGGAGGAGAGCGGACCTCTCCTGCACCTGTCCCCTCGGCGGCGGTGCCACAGAAGCCGGAAACCGAAAGTTGTAAACCGGAACTCGGCTTCACAATGATGCTTGGAGCGCAGGTGCAGTCGCTCCATGCTTCATCTGTGCTCACCGCTCACCACAGAGAAATTTCTCCTCGCATTTGGCGGTCGAGCGAGCGAGCGGCTTTTTCAAGCCCTGGTTTACTGTATCTCAAATTATTATTATTTTTTTTATTTGCTGTGTTTATATATTCTTTTTATATTCTTTGCCTAGGCACAGGCATTCTTTGGTAATGCGCATTTTTGCTGAATTTTGGTGCACTTTGGGTGCCATTAATAAATCCTTGTGCCATAATCAAGTTGTGCCTTTTTTTACGTGTTTGCAGAAACATGCAGTTTTGCCCGTGATTATACTACACTCAGTATGAAGTGAAGCCTCAGGTATGAAAGGGTTAAACAACACTAAACAAAGACAAAGAAAAAATAACTAGTTATCAGTGAGAAGCTGTGACAGTGACCTGCTTGCAGTGGAGCAGTGATCAGACATCAGGCTATAGTTGTGGCTGTGGGTGAGCTGTCAGTGGACAGACAAGTTCTACCAGAAGTGGGTGAGGCCTGAGGAGTTGAACTATAGTCAGTGACCTTCCAGCAGTACAGAGCCCAGTGCAGGCTATTATAGGAAGGAAGCAGATCATGTAATAGAGATCATGGGATGTTCAGCTGGTGGGGAGAATGTGGGCATCCTGTGTTCAGCTCCACACATCAGGAAGAGCCTTGTGTAATGCGGAAGAGGCTGTGTATACTGTGCAGCTCACACTTCTCTATGTAGTGATCACTCCCAGTACTCAGCCACAAGTGACAGATCAGAATGGCAGGGACATCCTCCGACAAACTGGTACTTAAACTGGTGATGACTGGGGACTCCAATGTGGGGAAGACCTGCATTATGACCAGATACACAGAAAACATCATCCCATCCTATATCTCCACTGTAGGTGAGTAGTAGTAGGGCTTTTACATTGCACAGGTTTTGTAGATATGCTTCTCATGTCGATGTCAGCTGTTCCTGATTTGGTGGGATAGTCTCGATTTTGTTTGATAAGATCCTGGAAATGGCCTCATAAATCAATAATGACGATGTGCTCAAACAAAATCCATTCTTTTTGGCATTTTGAATGCTTGGTAGTCCTTAACACTGCTGTGTTGCGGTTTGGCCACAGCACAGTGTTTCCTGTGGTTTTCATGTGGGTTACTGGTGGTTTTCCATAGACTTCTATTATGTCCTGTGTTTTTGGTGTGTTTTCTGAAGTTGCATCGAAGATGCAGCATGCAGAACTTTTTGTGCACTTTCAGAAAATGTGGGACATAACAGAAGTCTGTGGGTAACCTGCACAAACATTAGTGGGTACACTGTGCTGCGCCCTCGCTGCATTTTGGCAGTGTGAAAGTGGCCTTGTCTAAAAATAATCCATACACATCCACTACCAGTAATTCAATTTTCATGAAATCATTTCTTACTGTGCTTTTCTGCCTCCTTGTGACATCTTCCTTGAGCTCCTGAATCTCTCCTTTCCCCTCTCACTTCCATCTATTTGCAACAAGCAGTGCACGTTAGATAAACAGTGGTACCATAAAGGATTAACGTAGCCACCATCTAGCACGAAGTCAGATCACACCAGCAAAAAAAGGAATTAGGAGATTTGATGGAAGCTGGGAGTTAAAGTGATACTAAACCCAGGAGCCTGCATTCACTATATCTGGTCTCCCACAGAACACACTACATGGAAATGCAATTATTAAATATAAACTGCTAAATACCTTTTCTCATCAGCAGTTAGAGCAGTCTTGTGACTTCAGCAGAGCACTGGTTAAAGCTTGTAGGAGGAGTTTTCTTTCTGTTCTAGGAGGATTTGAAACCTTTGACCCTCTGTCTGAACAGTGCTGATTGGCCCTGTGCTGATCACATGCACCCTACCAAGAAAAAAACAAAACCTCTCTAGCAATACACACCAAACTGAGCATGTGCATGTGACCACGGGTTCAGTCTGTATCAGCTGGTCATTCCAACAAGAGGACAGGCAGAGAAGAAAGGATCAAACAGCCTTTTTACACAATGCAGATGATTAACCCCTTAGGTTCCACAGTGAGAATAACAAGCATACTTTACTGCATATACAGACTGATTTTACGGTTGTGGGTTTAATAACACTTTAGGAATACATAATTGTGTAGATTTATTTTTAAACCAGAGTTTAGTGTCACCTTGAAGCTGAATTCCAGGTATGGTTTGTATTGCATAGTATTGTAAATATACATATGGCATACCTGTGAGATTCCTTTGGAAGTGGAGAAACCCTGTAGTAGTTGCCACTGCTTCACTGATTGCTACTGTGCTCCAGGTGCTGTCTAGTGGCTGTCCTGCTGCATAGTGGACACAGGGGGTCACCCACGTGGTATGGGCACCATTTACAGAATGCTTTGTATTTTCTCAGTGCATACAATGTGTTCTCTGATAACAGAGACTGGGAGGTGACATCACAGTCTTCACTTCATACAGAGAATGTAAGAATTGATAAAAATACAAAGTGTTCTGTGAATGGCACCCCTGCAGATAAGGCAACCCCCTTTTTCACTAAGCAGGACCTGGAAGACCGCAGCAATTGATGTTGTAGTGGTGACTTCTTCAGTGATTTTCCACTTCCTCGGTGGCCCACATATACATATAATAAACTTCTTTTTTTTCTTCTTTTTGCTATAAATGATCACAGGGGTGTGGACATTTTAAAAAAAAGTACTTGCCCAGGGACTAAATCAGTGTCCCAATCTACTTGTCCCTCATGACAATCTACCTATCCAGATCATTTTTTTTTTCACCAAAACCGTATTTAAATCGGAGGTGATATTAGGAATGTTTTGAAAACAAAAGGGGCTTTCTGGTGATTAAACATTTCATATCTTTAACATTGTGCTGTTTATCTCCTCCTCCCCTTCCTGCCTGTCTCCAGCACCGCACCCGGGGACTAGCAGGGAGCAGAGAGACCTTGCAGTGCACTGATTAGGTGCTTGTCAGGAAAGAGGAGTGTCCGGCTTATCCTTTATCCCTTTCGCTCCCAGGGCCATTTATGCGTTTTTTGCACAAGATTAAAAAAATTATTATAGGCCTGAAGATTACACAAAACCCTCAAATATGATATATTTTCTCAAATCAGAGACTCTAGAGAATAAAATAGTGGTAGTTCCAATTTTTTATGTCACACGATATTACCGCAAAAGTTAGTTAGTTTTAGGGCACAAAAAAAGCAATACTATAAATGACCCTATGTTTTGTAAAATATAAAAGATGAGGTTGCAGCGAGTAAATAGATATCCAACTTGTCAAAATTTGCATGCACTCAACGAACTTCAGTACCCTATATTTTCTATAGGTAAATCTTTTAAAGCCCCTTCTAGGTCATCAGTATAGTGTTACGGAGTAGGTCTGGTGCTAGGATTATTATTCTCATTCTGGCGTGCGTGCCGATATGTGACTTGTATATCGCAATCCACGTGTTCATGTGTAGGCGCCCCAGCGTGTGCTTTTACGTTTGTACGTGTATATGTGTGTGTGGGGGGGGGGGGTGTAAATTGTTTTGGGGGGGGTGTTATGTGCTTTGGTGTAACCTTAATTTTTTACAATTAAAAAAAAAACTTTATTTTTTTTTTTTTTTTACTTTATTTATTTTTTTATCACATAGGGGACAATTTCCCCTATGTGATGATTTTTTGGTGACCGGTTCTCTTATTGAGACATCCAAGGTCTAAAAGACCTTGGATATCTCCTATGTACTCACCTGAATATGATGCAGTGCACATCGCACTGCATTACATTCTTTCCCGGCCTCAATTGCCGGAAATCTCACAACGGGGACCCGAAAGTGACATCATAACGTCACTTCCAGGTCAGACAAGGAGGGGAGTGGACGTGTCCACTCTCCTCCCTCCCCTTTAGCCACCGGTGGTGAGCCAGTCCCGAGCCCGCAGATGGGCAAGCTGAGCCCGGAGACAGTGAGTGGGTGGGAGCTTCACACGGGGGGGGTGGGGGGGGTGGAGAGGCTGGCACTGTGTGGAAGCTATCGGGTGGCAGTGGTGACGCCCGACTGCTTCCACCTGACAGGTGAGCCCTGCTTCTTGGCCGGCTAAAGGTAAAAAAAAAAAAACTACCTGCCCGGCGCCTGGAACATGTCCCAGGCATTGGGCGATAGGAATTCAACATCCCTGGATGATCACATAATCTGTGTTCTCAGTTGCATAAGAGGCTTAGAAAGATGGGGGTGCAGAAACAACAGAACACTGAACTTCCCAGTGAATGGCTGTGCAGAGGGGGCTTGGCATTGGAGGATAGGCATCACAAAGCAAAGAATGAGAAAGAGAAGGCACCATGATTTAAGTGTAGGTGCTGGCACCCTCTCTTTCTCTTTCTTTGTTTTGTGATATTAGTGGGATCACCTAAGTTCCTAGTGCAGTGAAGCGTTGCAGCCGTGACAAGTGTTTTTCCTCGTAAGATTGGATTCTTTAAGGACTTACTTGCTTTTTAGTGTTTAGGGCATGTTCTGATCTGTTACTAATTTTGCAGCATCTTTGCTGCTTGTTGTATTGGAGTACAGACAGGCTGTTCTCCCAACACAACCAGAAAACTGACCACTCTGGGAAGGATCACCAGGTATTTCACACAAAGGAAGCAATACAAAGAGAGCAGGATCCTTTTTTACAAACATACAACCAGGACATATCAGGAAAATAGAATGTTGGGGTTACATATTCTTTAAGTCTAGCGGGGTACATTGGGAGTATTACTCATTCCATGATCCTGCAGGATCCCTTTATCTGTAGCACTCAGTCCCTGCAGCCTCTTCTCTTAGCCACTCACAGCTGTGGTTGCAAGTACAGTATGCTCTCTCCACATCAGTAATGTCAGAGGTTGGTGGAGTGGGAAACAGGGTTATTAATACTGTCTGTTCCACTACCCTTAAATATAACAAGCCTTTAAACCTTATTATAAATATGCTCAGTGAAAAATAATAAAAACCCTTCCTTAAATTATAACCATAACAAGTTTCAATTAAAGTCCAAAATATAAAAATATAAGAAAACAGAAATTAAATGTCCCTCTTAAAAAATACAAAAATAAATAAATACGTGTTGTCCAAAATTCATTCAAGTGTAAAAAATCTCTGTCTCTTGCACAACTTGATTACCTCAAAAACAAAAACAAAAAATATACATAGTGCATTATCCTTTATAGAACAAAAATAACAAGTGAAATCACTCCAATAATATTTCACCCAGGTGAAAAACAAGTGTATACGTATATATATAACCACATACACATGCAATATCCAGTGCAAAACAGTGTATGTAAAACACTCTTGTGTATGTAAAACACTCTTGTGTGCTCAAAAACTCACAACACAGTGTACACTTCTACTAAAGTAAGGAGTGAATACCCTTACCAATACTCCAAATAACGTTTGCTTTGATATCAATCCCCCAAAAATTGCACGATGAAATAAATTTTCCTGCAGATATCCTCAAGGTTTACTTTGGTCCCATAGTACTATGTGGATCCTTCCACACTAGCACTTCAGTGTGTTTCCACCATATACGCCATCCAGATGCCCATATATAAGGAACAAATAATAGTGTAATACTGCCACACACTAAAATCCCAAATTTTTAATTGTACTGCTTACATTAGATACATCTTTCAATCGCATAAACGTATATAAAAAAACCTTTCTGCCATCCAGGATCCAGGAGAGTCCTGATCGTTCGTAACAGCTAATTTTCCCCTCTCCAAGATGGCCGCCAATCCACTTCCGGTTTCTCGTATACGTCTGACGTCACTTCCCTTTGACGCGTTTCGTCATTGGACATAATCATTTAAACCTTGCAGTGCAGGGGACCCCAGCATTCATATAAAGCATTTATATCACAATTGCTTGAAAATGAGCCAATG